CACACACACACACACACACACACACACACACAGGTGCAATCTTTATGGCAAGGCCTTTGGTCTCTGTTAACAGCATGCTGTGAGATAACACACACAGCTCATTCACAGTGGGCTATAAATAGTAAAGCTGTCTGGAACCTAGAAAAAGCATGCTGCGTTCTTGGATAAATCCGAGTCGTGATCCTACTTCAGTAACTCCACACCCCGCTTTCTCATCCACTCTGCCTCTTGGCATTGGAAGGTTTTAGGACCGAAGGACATTTTTCCACTTCACATCTTAAAAGTGTCGTATTGAGAGGGTCTTCTGGTTTTTTTCTTTTAATATGTAGGAAGTAAGAAAATTAGCAAGGCTTAAGATCTGATACAAAGGTAACCCGTTTATGATGGGAGCCGTATAACTAACATCAGCCCGAGGAAGAAGCTTGGTTGAGACTACGAAGCCATCGTGGCTTACTTAGGAGACTCTGCACCCATGCTGACGAGGATCAAAGTGAGGGTTGACCGACATGAATTCAAGAATGGAGTGGAAGGTCATGGGTTCCATTCCAGGCGCTTCCCCTCCTCTCTCTCCATCTGATCTCTGCAGAGTCCCTCCTGTAGGCGCAGCCCAGAGGCCTTGCTCTTTTTATTGGGGGAAAAAACCAAGGTGCCAGAAACATCTCCCTTAATCTTCTTTGGCTAATAGAACCTGCCAGACCAGGAAACGGTTCGAGACTGCCAACAGCCGCACAGTCAAAGCATAACAGCAACAGAATCAATAACCGGGCCAGGTATTTCAAGGTCCAGGAGGAAGGAGAGTCACCTTTGCAGGCTGCTAGAAGGGGGGGGGGGAATTGCCTCTTAAAGTCCTCTGCAGCATCTTTGTCAGAAGGGAGGATGTCTTACAGTGGTGGGTTTCAAAAATGGTTTGAACCTACTCTGTGGGAGTGGCCTCCTTCGTGGGAGTGGCTTGCCGCCCATGTGACCGGATATGAAGATGCCACCTGACAAGACACTTGTCAGAACCACCTTAAATTACCTCCCACACAGCACTGGCATGCATAAGAATATGATGGAAACTTGTTTTTTAAAAG